TAAACTGATGTGGGCTATGAGTTACCAAATCATCACGATCAAAGACACTATTGAGCTGAATGTAGGCTTGGCTGAAAGGACACTGAGTAATTTCTCTGAACCCTAGTCCTCTGTCAGTGAGAAAATCAGTGAGTACCTCGCGCACCGTGTTGAACTCCACAGGCAGATTCGGCATAGGCACGATAGAGACGATGGCCCAATCTTCATGGAGTGGTGTTGGCGCCGCCGACAACACCTTGACTCTGGCTGGCCTCCCTTCAACTGTGATGCTCTGATGGTTGGGGGAGGAAAGGGGAGGGATCGAAAGGGAAGGAAGCCATGGTGATGGTATTCTTTGTTGGATTGTGGGAGGGAGAGGAGCGGAGCTGGGATCTCCGGGCAATGGGGATGGTGGCGGCCAGCAATCTTTGTGCAGCAGAGGGGTGAGAGGCGGAGTAATGGAGGGAGGTAACTCGGGAAGGAACAGAGGAGGTAAAATCGAGGTGTGCAGGAGATGATGGCTAATTGACTGCACCTGCCAAACCCGCAGCGGGAAGAGTGGTGGGGTACCTCAGAAGGGCAATCGTCCGGGATGGGCCAGCAAAATTGGAGGGCTGCACCAGTAAAGTGAAGGTGGGTTGCGTCTGTCTGGGCTGGGCCGCGAAGAAGCAGTTTTTAGCAATGTGGCCCCATTTTTTGCAAGACCTACACTTAATGCGATTAGAGAAATTGGGCCTCGCATGGCCAAAGAGCAAAACAGCGCACACAGAAGGCCTGTTGATTAGTTTGAATTTGTTGTGATCCCGCCCTCTGATCAATAGCAACTGATGAATGACCATTACGGCCATAATGACCATCATGTCCCGTTGATGGAGCGTGACTTAATGATTGAGATGAACGATCCCGTGAATCACGATGATCAACAAGATCAGGAGCGGGGGAAATAGCTGGGGATCTAAGAGCTGCAGCGTATGATTTCCTAGGATGACGACGAAAAACATGTGTCCACTCGTCCTCCTTTTCTTGGAGATATTGATCAAGTTCCCAGCAAGAATTGGGGCCTCCTTCACCCCAGAGAAGGAAGTTAACATTAAGCAGAGGGAGTGAAATGTTACCTCCCTTGATGATAGAGAATCCCACTTCTTTGGAAGAGACAATAAACTTAAAAGACCAATTCTGAAGCAACTTGACTTTAAAAAGTGATGCTCTACCTCCAAAACAAGCCAAGAGAATAGTGCTAACCGATTCTTCCGTGAGCCGCAGACGAGATCTGGTGAATTCGGCCACCAGTGGGAATGCTTCAGATTCTTGATCATCATCGTGGTTGATTAGGACACCCCATTTTTTCCAGATTTCTGAGGCGAAGTCCTGCCCCTTGTCAAAGTCGAGTTCTGCGAGCGACATTGGTGGCTAGGAGGAGGAAGGATATGGAGAAAATTGATCTGGGAGATTGCGAGTGAGAGGAGGCCGGATCGTCACAGGGCGCTGGTGGAGGCACGAGATCGTGGACGCCGGGGCCAGAGTGGCCACCGGCGGTGGGGCGGAGAGGCTAGGCGGAGAGGTACTCAAAGATTTGTTTCTTCGTGGAGAACTGTTTTTCTTTTCCTGGAACAAGAGTGTACGATATTAACTTAGGAGCTAACAACGTCATGAAATCACTAGTTAGAGGTACTGTGTGTTCAAATCACGAATCACTTTCAGCGTTGGGTTTGGCTGGAAAAGAAAATCGCGTCAAGATCTTTGAAACGAGATCACATATTAATTCGCCTCGAAAAAATTCCTAAGAAAACTGGAAATGAAAAAAAAACATGAAAAAACCGGAAACCAAAGAAACGTGAAACCGGGAAGCACAGTTCCGATATTTCTTATATAAAAATGTTGAGCTAATATCGTTGGGAGTCATATAACTTGTGTTGGATGTTCAGTTTGATGCTAGAACTTTAAAAATACGAATTTATGGTCATCTAACTTGACTCAAGCGTGCAGATAGAGTCACAACACGCGTATGAAATGACTAGTGTACTGCTCATAAATGAGCAAAATAACAATAAAATGGGGCCGCCAGGTCTCGAACCCGGGATCAACAAACGACCCGCTAATGGCACTACACCATTGATATTCTCTATCTACTACTATGGTGGGTAACGATATATACTGAACCAAGCCACATGCAGAGCTTAGACGGGCTGCAGAAACTGCGGCCATTTTACACACGCTATTTTCTTTAAGATAATTGTAAAATGTAGGTAATAAAGTTATGTTCAAATATTTGTATGATACATACAATCGGTGATTATTAAATAAAATAATAAACCTGTAAATTATAAAAAAATATTTAGTTAATATGGGCGTTTAAAATGTTTATTAAAGAAATATGTCTAGTGTATCCAAAATTTTAATATGTTTATTTAAGACGTATATAAAATTTTACTCATGACTTATGTTCAAAAAATTATATAATTTAAATTAAATATTAGACCCGATTATATATCCATATTAACAGTTTAAAAATTAAATTATGAATATTCTTCATTGTGACGAAATTTAACTATAAAAATGTGCGTATTGTTATTGAAATGTTTGTATAACTAAATATATTTTTGAATTTTAGTTTTACAAATAATTATTTTATTCAGAAATATATGGAAATAATACATGGACAATTTTAAAAGTAACTTATTTTGTTTGTATTTACAATATTTATAACACACAGATATTTAAAAGTTGTTTTATTACTTGGATAATAATTTACATTTTTTTCCGAGGGGTATCATAATTTACATAGCATCTACAATGTTTTTTCAACAAAGGTGTAAACTGGGCTGCAGTAGCATAGCGCGTCGTAGCTGATGGCCTCGTGCTCTAAGTAAAGGGATATAAGAAGTAGTTATTCCTACGTAGCATCTGGTTGAAGCTGGCGCTGTAGTTCTCCACGTGAGCGTACCCCGCAAAAAGAAAAAAGTTCTCCACGTGAGCGCCCAGAAGATCTCGGTTTCAAATAATGTTGCCTCTCAGATTATTATACAATTTTTCTCTTCATACTCTTCACTGACAGGTTGGTCCCACCTAAGCTTTTCTGCGTAATTAGAATAAATCCAGGGATTTATCAGAAAATAATTCTACTGTCAAAGACCGGTGGGCCACTGCCACACTGGCAAGGCAAGGTGTACACCCAAAGCATCGTATTTGCACCATACATCAAGTTAGATTACCATAAATTCGTATTTTTAAAGTTATAGTATCAAACTGAACATTTAGGGTAAGATGGCTTCTGGTCATATTACCTCAAAAATGTTACTACTGACACGAGGCTTGGATACTCGGAGAACGTATCTGGTGCACCAAGGTAATTGGTGCTACCGGTGCACCGGAGCCCGTTGCACACTAAAAAATGTCCAAAAAAATCTGGAAAAAATTAGTGTATCGATACAACATCGATGCATGTTGTCACAAAAAATCAAATCAAAATTTGAAACAATGATCAAGATACAAAAATGACAAATTTGACGTCAATGTGCTAGTGGGCCAGAACTGAAGCCCAACTTGTGTTACGTACTATTCAGTGTCAAATTTGTTATTTATGTATCTCGAGCAATGTTTTGAATATTTATCTAAATTTTTGTGACAACATACATTCATGTTGTGTCAATGCACTAGTTTTTTTTCGGATTTTTTCGAGCATTTTTTAATGTGCAACTGGCGACCGGTGCACCGGTAGCACAAATTGCCCCGGTGCACCAGATACTGGATACTCGTTGAGCTTTCGTTTGGGTGAGGAAGAGAAGTGGAAAGACTGGCCCGACCTGTCGTCGATCTCGTGCACAATCACATGGCCACTTGGGATGGGTTCCACACCTTTTACAGTTGGTCGTTGCTTTCCATGAGACCAAATGAGACGTTTCAGCTACATGCATAAATATGAAGAAAAAAACAGCAGTATTTAAAAAAATAGCATTGCCAAAAATGATTTTATAAGATAAAAAACAAGGTTTGCAGCGAGCTGTTTTCCACCTGTTTTTAGTTTCGGTGTCTTTTAGTCGTTGGATGTTGTGGTACTCGGTTGGCTTCTCTTTCTTGAATGAAATTGGAGCCGGGAGGAGGCCCCTGATTTTCAAAAAAAAAAAAGAGATGAGAAACAAACACCACCACTACTTAATTTGACCTCCAAATTTGGTTTCTTTCTCGCGACTTTGGCGAGACGAATGTGCATCTACGGACACTAAAATGATTTTTTTAGAAAAAACCAGAGAAAATCAAGAAAACTAAAATGATTTTTTGGGTAATAATTTAGTGAACATAATTAAATTTAAGTACTTTAGACCTGTCAAAGCAGTATATATTTGGTATATGTCCTAGAGAAAGCGGTTTCACACATGTGGCATACCAGTAAACACACAAAATTCCAAAATATAAAATATGAATAAAATCTACAAAATGGAAAAGCATGGAAATGTATTTAAGAAAAAAGATTAATTTGAAGAAATTCAATGAAAAATTCAATCGTCTATACAAAGCTAAAATTTCATTGTTTTCGACAAATGCTAAAAGCCAGCTATACTTGATGTTTCTGAAATATGATATGTTTATCTGTCTCTCAGCTTATAATTATATAAAACTCCTCCGTCTAGATACATACATCCGTTTGAATGTCAACTAATTCCTGACCGAGACCGCTTGGACTAAGTAGTTAGCTATCTCAAAAACAATCAACAACTAAAAAAAATTCCAGACCGAGAAAGTACTATGAACTGCAAGATGCCAGATGGTAAGCAATCCAGACAATTCAAAAAAATAACTGCAATATGCCAGATGCTGACGCGGCAAAACTGTAGAAAAGCTGACGTGTCTATAAAAAATGATTTTACTTGTTCGATGACAAATAGGAGCGGAGCGCGCAAAGAAGCAATTTTTATCTCTGCTTAAAAAAGGCAACAAGAGAGCTTTTTTCCTGCCACCTTCCTCGATTCCATCCCATCATTCGCCGCACAGATCACTCCCAGCATCCCCCCGCCAGCCTCGACATGTCCGCCGCCGTCGGCTCGCCGTACCGGGCCGCCCCCGCCGCGCAGCACCGCCGGAAGGGGCGCGCCGGCGCCGTCACGCTCCGGTGCTCCAAGGTGGCTGCGGCCGCGGCCGCGCCCATCCTGGACGACCTGAGGCTGCAGTGCGCGACGCCGCTCCCCCTGCTGCGGCACGTGGCGGGCGCCATGGCCGCCGGCATGCGCGCCGGGCTCGCCGTGGACGGCGCCGGCGAGCTCAAGATGATCCCCAGCTATGTCTACTCGCTCCCCACCGGGTAACTGATCCTCATTTGACTTTCAGTTACTGTGGTTGGTACAGTAAACTGATGAGTTCTTCAGTCAATTCAGTCCACCAATTAGTTTTTGTAAATTGGACTTAGTGAGTGTCGTGAGCCACTAGATTTGATCTGGTTATGAATGTCAGTTAATTCAGTTCGGTACATGAAATGATTTCTGCATCACCGCTGTTGTGCTGAAGGAGTGAAACAGGGCTGTTCTATGCTCTGGATCTGGGAGGCACCAACTTCAGAGTGCTGAGGGTGCAGCTGGGGGGAAAAGATGGGCGCGTCGTCGACACAGAGTCCGAGCAAGTGTCGATCCCAAAGGAAATCATGCATGGTACAACCGAGGTAGCCGGTTCATTGATTTGTTTTCTTATAAGCTAATTGGCTCTGTTTTCAGAAAGAAAAATAGGTTTTACAGTGATTACAGAATTAGCATATAATTGCATATGGACGGAGCACGTTTGATGTTTGACGCTGCGATTGTCGCTATTGAACAGGAGCTGTTCGATTTTATTGCGGCCCGCCTATCGAATTTTGTAGCGAAGGAGGGTGGTAATTTTCATCTTCAGGAGGGCCGGAAAAGGGAGATAGGCTTTACGTTCTCCTTCCCGGTGAAGCAGACTTCCATTGACTCTGGCATTCTGATCAAGTGGACCAAGGGTTTTGCTGTCTCTGGGACTGTAAGATTTTCTTTTCCCGAATACAATTTTCTCATTTTTGTGTGTTGTACTTAGTTATTTCTAGTACCAAGAGTTGCAAGACCAAAAGTTCCCTGCTTGAACCAAGAATATTTTTTCCCACTGGACATAGCTTATGGATCAGCATGTTAGTTTCTTTTTTCAGTTGAATTCATGCTAACAATAAAGCAATATGTTGGTCTTCACAGGCCGGGAAGGATGTGGTTGCCTGTCTGAATGCCGCCATGGAAAGACAGGGGCTTGACATGAGTGTATCTGCTCTGGTAAGCAACCATCAAAACTCGTACTATTACTTTTAGATAAGGGGAAGAGCTTCATTGCCTTCCGGATTCTGTATCGGAAAATGCACATAGCGACAGCAAACTTCATGGTTAGCAAAGCAAATGGGATACCCAATTACCATAGTGGATACTGAACTCTGCTTTTTTGCTTGTGCTCTGCTTTGGCACGGGCTGAAATGCGTCTGAAACAACATCATTTCACATCAAAAGGTATATGATATGGTTTGAAGCAAGTGAATCACACTTAACAGGTAAATGATACCGTTGGAGCGTTAGCTGGAGCGCACTATTGGGACGAGGATGTGATGGTTGCGGTTATTTTGGGAACTGGCACAAATGCTTGCTACATTGAGCGAACAGAGTCCATCCCAAAGCTCCAACACCTCGGGCTTGGAACAGGAAACACGGTATGCTGCAACAAGATCAGATCTTTTATTTACTCCGTACTGAACTGACATTCGATGCATGCCATTCCAACGTTGCTTTGCCTAAAAAAAAGGGTGAGTGGAGCAAATGAAGTCTTTCCTTTTTGGAAAAGGAGGCACCAATCGATCCACATTGCCATAAAATTTCAGTGAAATATTTCATTGCTTGAAATAAGAGAATTATTGCCAGCACACTGAGTTGGTTAAAGTTTGTAAAATGCAGATTATCAACACTGAGTGGGGAGCCTTTTCAGATGGTCTTCCACTAACTGAATTTGACAGGGACATGGATGCTGAGAGCATAAATCCTGGTGAACAGGTAAAACACCTCTGGTTTGCTCGCCTATCCGTTCATGTGTTTATTTTGATGGCATGGTAAGCTTGCAATACATGCAGATATTTGAGAAGACGATTTCCGGGATGTACCTTGGAGAAATTGTTCGGAGGGTGCTGGCCAGCATGGCTCAAGAGTCTGATCTGTTCGGTCACTCGTTCGCTGACAAACTAACTGAGCCATTTGTTCTAAGGCAAGTTATTCCACGTTGTAGCTTCTAGAGTCCACATTATCCTTTTCGTTTCACAATTTTGTGCCGTTCTAAGCTGAACCGCAAACACGATTGTAGAACACCGCATTTGTGTGCTATGCAACAAGATAACTCCGACGATCTTGGAGAAGTTGAATCAATTTTGCGCGATATCATCGGGGTAAGTTCCTAAACTTATTCAGTCATATATGGCCAACTAAGACAGCCAGTACTTGAGCGTGCAATTTTGTCCATAACCATGGTTGCAGGTCAACCAATCTTCTGTAGCGGCACGAAGGGTTATCGTAGAAGTTTCCGATTGCATCGTCAAGAGAGGTGGGCGGTTGGCTGGTGCCGGCATTGCTGGCATTCTTCAGAAGATGGAGAATGATTCCAAGGGTCTGATCTTGGGGAGAAGAACAGTGGTAGCGATGGACGGCGGACTTTACGAGAATTACCCTCAGTACAGGTTGTACATGGTTGAGGCTATGGCGGAGCTGCTTGGTCCACAGGACATGGAGCACATTGTCGTCGAGCACACCAAGGACGGCTCGGGCATCGGCGCGGCACTTTTAGCAGCCGCAAACTCAAAATGTGCAGCAGCTCAGCACTCGGCGTGACGTTCGTTAGGAACTTGCAAAGCGAAGAGTTTGCTCTAGCCTGATAGTAACCTTGGGTGAGCTCTGGAAATGTATTCTCATGCTCAGGAACATATATTGCTTCGACACAACTGAGAGGTAGATAAAAATGATCTTCATTGACTTTCAACATTGCTCCTCAGTCATCCCGCACAAAAAAAACATTGCTCCTCAGTCTCTCTCAGATGGCTGAGATTACTTGTTAGTATTGGACTATAGAATCTGGTATGTTTCAGGAATGTAAAATAAGTTCAGTTATATTTTGCTATTATATTACAGTCAAGTGTGTCGGTTGTCCTAAGATAGGTGCCCTGCATGGGGAAATATCAAGAGCTGTACTGGACCGGGCAACCACTGATATATGAGCTGAGCATATTCACTGATATGAAAATTGCATAGAACACACATATATATATTGCTAATCCACAAATCATATTCTCTAAATAAATCCATTCCATAAGCACGTCGTGCGGTAATTAAATAATGGTAAATGTGTTATTCAGAAGTTCATAAGAACATACAGAACTAATACAGCCATGTTCTACATGATCTTCTGTCATGATTATTCAGAAGTTCATAATAAATAAAGCAGTACAATACCACAATGTTTTTGTTGATACGAGAACACGATGTTTGCAATGAGCTTCTCTTATTCTGTTGCATAAAGGTACAACCATACGCGCAATAATGACATCATTGACATGTTCTGATAGTGTAGGTATGTTTACTTGCATTTGCACATGAATATGCAAGTTTTCTCTATGACTTCGACCGCATAGCTTTGAACCACACGTGTGGAGTAGCTTCAAGTTTCAGGTCATACTTTCTGCTTACTGCAAGCCCAAATTTCTCGGACATGTCAAGCGAAACCGGGCTAGCACCATCAGGAAGCTTCCAGTTGAAGTGATAGAGAATATTTGTTAATGTCATCTCCATGACTGACGAGCTAAACTGAATCCCGGGGCATTGCCGCCGCCCTGCGCCGAAGGGAGTGAATTCAAAGTAGGAGCCATTGTAATTTGTGTTGCTGTTCTCAAACCTCTCTGGCATAAACTCGCCAGGATTGTTCCAGTATGCAGGATCTCGAGAAATCGCGAAGACATTAACGTATACATTGGTGCCTTTGGGGATGTCATAACCCATGATAGTACAATCCTCTATGGACGCGCGGGGAATTAGAGAGGCAGGCGGATGGAACCTGAGGGTTTCCTTGATGACCATCTGCGTGTAGTCGAGTTTAGCGAGGTCGTTATTGGTAATGACAGCCCGGTCTTGGCCAAGAACCTCTCGGACTTCTTGTTGTGCCCTGGCCATAGTTTCAGGCCTGCGCACAAGCTCCGACATAGCCCACGTCAAGGTGGTTCCTATGGTCGCCGTGGCACCTGCAAATATGTCCTGTAAACCAAGGCCGTGGAAAGCACAATCAAACATCTCTGCATATAAAATAATGTTGTAGTATGAATGACTAAAAAGCTACTTAACATTAGCATGTTACTTTTCTTCAAATAGCATGTCACTTTTCTTCTGTGAAGAATAACGTAGTATTAATAGTAACTCTAAATAGTTTAATAGCACCATGAAACTAACAGGAACACTTACAAACAACACGGCGCCTATGATCTCGGTGGTTAGAGGGAATTCCAACGAGTCCTCCTGTTGCAGCCTGAGCAACACATCCAGCAGATCCTCCTCGTCGGTGCTGGAGGCACCAACTCCGGCGGCGGCTCGCCCGGCCTTGCGCCCGTCTATGACGTTGGCGATGATGCGTTGGATGTGGCCGTGGCACCTCCTCATGCGGCGCTCGTCGTTGCTGAGCCACCGGACTAGCCGCGACGACGGGAAAAGGTCGACGGGGGAGAAGCCGCTCACCAGCGCAAACGCCTCATCCAGCTCGCGGAGGTACTCTTCCTGCTGCGTGAACTTGCCTCCGAAGACCGCCCTCGTCACGATGTCGTTGCTCAGCTCCGTCATCTTCTCGCTGACGTTGACGGTGGCGCCATCCATGGCGGCGATGGAGCGGAGGAGGTTGCCCACCTCCTCCGCCCTGATGCTCTCTATGCGCTTCACCTGCCTGGAGCTGAGGAGCTCCACGATGCACACCTTGCGCATCTGGCGCCAGTGCTCGCCGTAGGGGGCGAAGCCGATGTTCTTGCCGCCGCAGCCGAAGATGTCGGACGTCGCGCTCTGCGGCCGGCCCGCGAAGGCGAGGTCGTTGGTCTTCATCACCAGCGCCGCCGCCTCGGCGCCGGAGACGATCACGGTGGGGACCTCGCCTAGCATGAGGTGCATCAGTGGGCCGTGCCGGCGAGACAGGTCCATCATCCTGCGGTGAGGGAGGGCGCTGGCGACGTGGTGGAGGCTGCCGATGATCGGGAGAGTCCATGGCCCTGGCGGCGGCAGATGGTGCTTCTGTGGCTCTTTCTTGCTGCCGGCGAGCTTGAGAAGCCAAAGGGCAAGCGGCGTGCATAGTGCTATGAAGCACAAGCTGAACCATTCCTCCATGGCAGGCAGCTTGGCAGGTGCAGTGACGCCGACGGCACCAAAGTATTAAATATTATAACAGTCCTTTGGCTTCGCGGAGCTTTCATAGGCCAGGGGAGAAGCATCGACGGGCGAGCAGCTTTCTCTTGCCTGGCTGCTAAGAATGCAAATTTGAATTTGGTCCCGGCCGGGATGGGCTAATACGAAAGCTACGTGTACTAGAAAGCATGAACCAATCTATGATTGGATGATTAGAAAGATAGTGGAATTTTCAGTTCATCAGGGTTTAAATCATGGTGCTTGTTTTTATGCAGAATTTATTTCAGAATTTTCGACGTGGCTAGGGAATCAGAATGTCATGTACCATCAAGAAAGCAAAGCTGATGCAAGTGGTGATCATTTCAGTCCTTCATACTCAGTCTTGCCATTCATGCACTAGAAGTCTAGAAATGATCGTGTCATGTTACGTATAACTTGCTATTTATATATGTCTGATGTTTTGCATGGGATGCCCCCAGTTTGACATGGTACTAGTACTAGAATATTTGTACCTGGGATGGCCGGGGGAGACTAGTATAGGATCTGGCCTTTAAGTGAGATCAATCTTTTTGAAGACACAAAACATGTTCAAACATTATGAAAATATTTGCAGACACATGTCCATGTTTGATGTACAACCTCAAAAAGTTTCAGCTCCTAATTCAAACTACACATAAAGAATCAAAAAAGACAAATTTGGATGTGAATAGTGGCAAATACAAGTCACTCAAAGCTGACACTATTCATAGTGGAATTTGTGTTTTTTGAATCTCTAATTGTAGATCGAGTTTTGAGTTGATTTGTTTTGGAGTCGTAGACATACCCTGCAGGTATGTTGTCTAAAAAAATCAGAATTTTTTGAATTGCCTAAATATGAAATTTTGGAGTTGATCCTATCTCACTTAAAGACCACAGATCATATACTAGTCTTCCTCGGTCCAGTTTGATATGTACCCCCTCCGTCACTTTGTACTGTACAAAGTTAAATCACTTATTTTGAGACAAAAGGAGTACTTGAATAGTTGTGCCTCGGATGGTTCATTTTGACATGTACTCAAATGGTTGTTGTTGGGATTGTCCACTTTGACATGTACCCAAATTGTGCCATGTACTTGAACAGGATGACCTAATGTTGTCATGTACTCAGAAATTTTCTCATAAGATATTGACATATTTTTTTTGTTTCCAACGTTTACAATTTTCTTGCATAATTACTGATATAAAAGAAGGCAAGTACTTCAAAACACATGCATAATATAAGAGAGCTTTTGGAGTGCAGCGAATTCAATGCCCACGCTCATGTGCAACCGGTCAGAATTTTTTTAAAAAAAATTACTAGAAAAATTCCAAAAAAACTCTCATGATAGACAATTTATTGCGTGAAGTTCACTCCAAATATTAGTTCATTTGGACATCTGAGTAGTTTTTAGCAAAAAAAATAAATCGGATCCAAATGATTTGAAAATTGGGGCGGAACTCGCGCATCAAAATTTTCTAGTATTTGTTTTGATTTTTTTATTCAACACAGGTGCAGATGAGTCGGGATCCTTTCAAAGCTTTTGACGCTACACTAGTGTAAAAAACACTTTTATATTATGGGATGGAGGATGTAGTTTTTAAAATAATCTTATTTACTAAGGACAAAACAATTAAAATGAGAAAGTTGAGATTTACTTCAACAGTATTTCAGGGGGCATTTCCTGAGATGTACATTGGCCTGGGATGCCTTCATGCTCATCTGAGCCATCCATGTCGGATCCTGTGACTCAGATAGTTTTCTTTTCTATATTTGCACCACAGGTCCAGATTCTATTGCAGTTGGCCCAACGCACAGCTAACAATGAATATTATTGGCATAGAAGATGAGAAACGGAATACTAAGCCAGAACATTCTTGTAGAATATCAAAAGCGCGCATCACTTTCCTGAGAACAAAAGCTGCAGGCACACAACAAAACAAAATAAAACAGAAAATAACACAGGTAACATGGGCATCAAGATGTTTTTTTCTTCAAGAAAGACACCCAAAGGGCATCTTAGAACTGATAATTATTATCCAGAAAAACGGCCAGTACAAGGAAAGACAATTGGAGGCAGAATGACCAGTAAAAAAATTAAAATTACAATGAAAATCGTACTAGTCCTCTTCCTCCGATTGATTGCCGCTCACACTGAACATCAAGAAGTTGACAACAAATGAATTAGCAATTTTGGCCTGTAAGAAGATTTGAATCAAATCAATTATTATTCCTATTGAGATTACACATTGTTAGTAACAAAACTGCAATGGCAATTACCTATCTGTAGCACATGTTCTGCTACTGTTGGAATCAGTGGAAAACTTCTGTTACATAGAATGAGAAGCTAACACAGTTTGCTTGTGTACACTTCTGATGAACAGGAAGGAATTACCATGTATACACACAACTAATTGATGTTTGATGCCAGGGGCTGGGTCATTCATTGTCTGCCCCTAGATCCTGAACCACCATCATGTTCCTGGGGCCAGGGCTGCCATCTTTCAGATCTATGATGATTGCTTGGGAATCTTCTTCCTTGATGATCATATGGATATCTCGTTCTTGCCCCATTCCTCCCATTCCTTTGCACCCTTCCACCTCTGTCGAAACCTCTTCCTCGATATCCTGAACTGTTGTTCTGCCTCATGGCGTCATGACAGGACATCTGAGTTGAAGTAGAAGGACAAGGACTCCCTCGTTGCAACTGTGGGAAAGGAATAAAAGGCACACCAGGTGCGACTTTCCATTTCTGTCCACGGTTGCCACCTCCTTCGACTTCTGGGGTTCCCAAGTGCTGAACATGAGCAATGGGAATCCCATATGAAATATTCAAGTTAGGGAGGCAGAATCCTGGAGCTACAGAACGACCCTGCTGAGGCTCAAACCCAGGAGGCACATCATCGTCTGTGCCTGTTGAGCTGCCTCCCATCACAGGCTGCGACCTATTTCTGGTCAAGCCAGCCTGAAGACCCAATTCTCCATAGACTTTCCGAACTAGTGATCCAACCATTTTATAGTGGGATTCTGGTTGATAATCCCAACGGCTCTTGCGCTTTCTTCTATTGGAATATGAATCTGTACACCATTTTGAAGTTGAAACAGGTCCATCCATATAAGGATGGATCCACTTCTCACAGAAGTGCCGAGCAATAGTTTGAACCTGTTAAAATGAATATAAAATCAGATATTGGGAAAACTGGACAAGACCATAGCTATTCATGAAGAACCTAAACTATGCTTGCAGAGAGTAACAAATTTTAATTTCCTTGTTTCTTACTGCAAAACCTAAAAAGAATGTGAACAGGGCTAGGAAAGACAAAATAATAAATAATGTGAACTGACAAATAGCTACTTAGCCAGCAGCAAAGACTTCCGTAGGGTACCATGACTGGTAAACCTAACAGGCATGTCAATTTCATGAAATGCATCTGCTCTTAACAGTATTTTTTAATAGGGGAAACTGTAGCTCACTTAACTAGCAGACCTGTCTCTGGTGTTAAGCCAGGACAAGAATGGTGGGGGAGTTGGGACCAAGTTTTATGAACATGAAAATAAGCAAAGGTTTGTGGGATAAGCTGTGCACGCCACAAGTATGGTCACATCCATGTACACTTTTATATAAGGTTTTCCCCTCCTCAATTATTTAATTCATTTGTTACATTTATAAAGTTACATCAGAAAATGGCGTATCTTTCCATGCATAAAACTTGTCAGTTAAACATTCTAACAAATAAACAGCATGCAGATGCATGTCCAAAGTACCAAGTTAAAAAGCATCCATCATCTCTAGTACATTACCTGTTTATCACTATGCCGGGTCAATTTCAACATCGAGTCCCTGAATCTGCAACAATAAAAAGTACAGAACAAGGTAATGAAAACTTGTACAACTGAAGCTCCAAAAAGGACAAAACTCAAAGGTATTGGCAATGGAGATTTTTCTATGACCATTATCCACCGGCAAGGTTTAGTGATAGACTAATAGGGTCAGGGGTAACGCAGTATCGAAAACCTGCAACTACACATAGCTGTAAATCAAGACCTCACTCATATCAACTGCGAGGTCTTAACGACAAAGACCAGTGCATAGCTGTTCGCTCTACTGTCGTCTCTTCCAATGCCCAAAGTCAAAACTTTAACTCCCTAACTCGTTCTTAAACGGTGGGATCAGAGTTTGATGGTTACACTTGTCTCCCAGCAGTTGGTACTTCAGGTGGAATTATTGTTGCTTGGAAGAGTTGTTGCGTCTCCCTAACCAATGTGACGCCAACCAATAACGCCGTCTCAGCCCAGGTTTCCTCCCCGGCCAGGCAATTGGTGGCTGACCATGGTCTACGGCCATCAAAGGAAGCTGCCAAGATTGAGTTCCTCGACGAACTGTTTGCTGCACGCCGCTTATGTTTCAAGGTAACCCACACTGCAGGTTGATGGGGCATTTCGTACGCACTTTGTCCTCACTCGTGCGCACCCGAGATCAACTTCCGCGTCGGTCACCCATCCTCAAATTGCTCCAAGCCAAGCACGCTTAGCCTAACTTTGAGGTGCCTTTCGGATGGGCTCCCAGAAAAGAAAGCGCACCTCGTTTTTATGAGTAGTCTATCTCCTAGACCCATTAAGCCGGGATGTTACTAAAAGTCCTCTCCTGGACCCATGCCCACTTCTGCGGCCCCATCCCCGGCGAAGCCCTCATCAACTGGTGACACACTACTAAGCAAACGACACCAAAAGAGCGGCGCAAATGCTGCCTTGCGAGTGTCGTGCTCCTCACATCCTAGATGCTCTGGAAGCACCCAAACGCATGCAACATTTGACAAATGACAACTTGCATCCAGACCACCACACTCTTCTTAGGACCATCATCGACGAGGGTCGTGCATCCAGGCCGGTAGATGTCCAATGATCCCCCCCCCCCATTTGTTCCCTTGGGCATGTAAGTAACTTTGTTCCTACCTTTGCGATTTGT